GAATAATGTATGCAAACTTATTCACCCGTATGCATATACCTGTGAGCTCCCCAGCCCTGCTGGATTGCCAGCAGCTGGTATTGAAGGTCAGTACACTCAGTTTTCCCTTTATGATTTACAAATTCTCACATCTAAATAATGATTCTCGGGGGAAAATGTGTTTGCAGTTGGTTTGGGTACGGTGCCTGTCCATAAGATGTGGTATTTGGCACCCTGGCATGAGAAGACTCTCAGGGGGTGCATGATGTGTCACCACTTAGTCGTATTTCCACCCAGGTCCATTAAATGAGATAAAAAAGGATTTTGGCAAATGACAGACTGGCAGTGGAGCAGACAGCAAGCAAGCAAGGAGTGAAACACCATCTTTCACATCTCCTTTTGCTCCAATCCAGGACCAAAAGCGATAGCGAATATCAAACACAGGGTGGTCCAGGGCCACCGACAAGTCCTCAGGCCTCCTCCATAAATCCCTCCAGCTGCTGCCCCTCATTCTTGCCTGAAGTCAGTCTCCGAATCCCCCCTAGTTTATCAGCACCCCCCTCCCCTACTCTGCTTACTTCATTCCTGGCCCTCACTGAAGCAGAGCATCTCAGCCTTTCCCCACACTGTGTTCATGAGCACCAGAGAGATCAGCTCCATTTCATTCGCATATGGGCATGGGGGACTGTTGCAATTTCAGCTCTGATTTTGGGTAATTTTTCTTTCCAAGCACTCTCTTTCCAGCTGGGACAGAGCACACATCAAGGATGGTCACCAGTGCTTCTTGAACACACCTGCTGCCCAGCAGGAGCACCTCCAGAAAAGAATGATTTGCCATTAAATCTGAGCTGCTTTGCCCTTGAGGGCGTTCCTTACTCAGCATTTTTGGGACTTCTTTGCAGCTTGCTTTTAAAGTTTGCCTTACCGCTAAAGGTCAGCCTTGCTAATACTTCCATACACAGTGCCGCAAAGTGCTTATTTGGCAAAAGCAGGGAGTGGGAGCAACCCCACTGTGGCAGGCGGTGGAAGCTGTACCCAGCAGGAACCTCTAATTGAGCCTCTGGGGTTCAAAAAAACCCACAAAATGTGCTTTTCTTTACCAAGCTAAAGCACATTTCCCAGGGCGTCTGGGTGAGGGTGTTGTTCAGTGGTAACCACCACTCCAGTGCTGTCCCTCGGGCTCCCCAGGCATTGTACCCTGCTCCCTCATCCCCAGCACGCCTCGAGGCTGGCAAGAATGGTGGACGCATTGGCTGGGCACCATCCCACAGCAGGCAGCCCGAGGCAGAGGGGGGGCAGTAACCAAACGGGAGAGCATTCACCTGGTTCCAGTCCCCCAGCTCCCACACACCCCACACACCCTTCAACACCAGACACACAAACCACGTCCCTCCTGGTCATGTTAGTTTTGGTGTTCGCCAACTGTGGTATAAAACAGTAAATGAAAATTATATAAGGATATCTCCTGCCATCAGCTTTTTCTAGATCCTGAAAGTCCATTTCCTTTCTCTCCAACTTAACTTTGCATTTCCCATTGTCATTGGCAGTCATTTCAATGCAGCATGGACATCACTGTATTGGAAAATAATTACAATGACAGATTCTGTTTTGCTGTGTGAGACCTTCCAGTATTGAATCTAATTACTGCTGATACTTTATGAGCTCCTCCAGCATGAGATAATTGCTGCTTTCTCTTTTTATGAGCAAGAAATAATCAGTTGTCTTTTAAGGTGAGAAATATAAACAGCAATTAAATACCACGGCTATCCAGCCCCTCTTGTCAGCAGGCACTTCTCATCAGAAAGCCAACACAGAAGAAGGTTAGGCTTCATTTATCATTTGCACCGAGTACTTTTTTTAATGGAGGGGAAAGGGAGGGAACAAGGAACACTCTCAAATGATCGATAGTCTTCTCCAGCTGATGAAATGCTTATTTTAATATAGAGGAGGAGGAGCATCTCACAAGCAAAGCAGTTTGCTCACAGGTCACAGTGCTCAGCATCAGCACCAAGCCCTTTTCTGGCCTCGAGGAAAAGCTGCAGAGACAGCAACAGGCTCGAGCACCAGGGGCACAAAACCACACTTGGATCCTACCAAAACCTGCTGCTTCAGCAGTCTTTTCCCTGATCCAGTGCTTCCAAAAATATATTTATATGTACATCTCTCCCAAACATCCTGACATCAGCATGCATCCCTGGGTTACAGCATCACACGTGGAGGAGACGGAGAAGAAGGAGACCTTTATGGGGAGACCCATCAGACAAGTGGGAGCTCACACTGGCTTTTGCAATCCTGGGATGGATCTTTTCCTGAAAATAATGGCTGAAGCCTTATCCTGCAGGTGTGGTCCCAGCCCTGGAAGAAATAAAACACCCCTGTGATGTCCCCTAGGCTGGGGTACGGGGACACACATCAGCTGGAAACTGGTGAGAAGAACTCAGCCAGATTATTTTATCAGATTGGGTCACAAGAAGCCTTTTTTTCCGACACTGTTTTGGCAATCCTGACACTAAAACCAGAAAGTCTAGGAAACAAGTACTTTTTTTTTTAGTGAAAAAAATCTCACATCTTGAAAATAAGCACTAATGGTTCAGACTCAGGAAAAGCTTCTGATGCTGCCTGGAAGTCTGTCCTGTCTGCACACTGGAGATGAGTTTCTCTACCACCTACAACAGTTTATTTTCTGGTTTTCGGTTTGTTTTTTTTTTTCTTCTTCAGTTCTTTACTTGAACAAAGCATCTGCGTTTGAATAATTCATTGATGAGGTTTGTACCACTTTGTTCACAAAATCATGGCAGGGAACAATGTTTTTCACGACATACTACTTTGCCAGCGCCTCTCTGTGAAAGAGTCTTGCTCCACTTGCTTGCTTGCCAAAAGTCTGTCAGGCAGCGAAGAGCAACATACCCGATGGGCTGATAAAATGGGAGTGATGAGGGGATGCTGGGGCAGCACTCGCTCATCTGGCTTTACCCGTCTAGAAGGGGAATGTCTGCATTTGAGATGAAAAATGTAATCCTTTAGCATCACAGGAGGAAGATACCTCCAGTGCTCTGGATCTCCCTGGTTCCCACCACAAGATCATGGTGGAGGTCACCAGCTCAGGTCTATGTAAATAACATTTACCCTTTGTAATTAAGGCAGGTGAATCCTGCCTCAAGTTGCTGAATCAAGGAGAAAGAAAGGCATTGTTATGAAAGCAGTGGATTTGGATTATGAATAACCATCCTGCTTCTGCTGCAGATTTCTTATGCAAGATAATACCCACATGCTCAGATGCCTAATTTATAAACAGAGAATAAGCCACCTTCCTCTTGGAAAACACTGGGAGGAATTAGTCATGTATATTTAACCTCACATTCGAAAAGCAATGGTGGAAAGTATCACAACTAGCAAGTTGGAGTGAATTACTGTGATCTCTATTAGCATGTTAACCTGTATTTAAAATACATAGTTGGCGAATCTGACTGCCAGAAAATTTGCTAATAATGAATATAAACGAAGTATGAACAGACTCAGCAACTTAATTAGAAAAAAATGAACTATTACTGTTGTCCTCTTTTTTTACCTTCTCATAATGGTCATAAAAATTCATAAACACTTCCAGACACATCACTGCTTGGCCAAAGACTTCTGCCTTTAGTTTATTGTGGCAAGACATCAAAATGGGAAACATGTGGCTTCACTTTCCATGCAGCCCTCCTCACAAACATTAAAAAGGATGGATTTTGATCAAGCGAGGAAATCAGAGTCTTTACTCAGCAACCAGGGGGAAGAGAAATTTGCTGTTTCCCATTTAATTCCTAGAACTACTTATCATGACCACATCTTTAATGTAGAGTAATTTGAGTTTCTCCTTTAGCTTCAAAGATAAATGGAAGGGAGATTTCAATTTGGATTACTCAGAGGAGGGCTGGAGTTGAACTGGGAAGCCCTTACATGTGCTTGGAAAAAGCAAAACCTCCCTCCTTGGCTTGGTCCTCAGTGCACCACACTACTGCTCACCAGTGAAGACTACGCTCTCATTGCGGTACAAAAGAATGATGCAAATACAGTTGAAGGCAGAGTGGGAGAAGGATTGATTATCCTGAGGTCATAAATATTACCAATACAGCCCTGTTATTTTATTAAGTGGTATGGAAAGGACAGGAAAATGGTTTCAAAGAAACAAGAGCTCTTCTCTCCTGGTAAGACACCAAAGGAATGGTGCACCACTCAGCAGTGATGTTTATCCGGTACATCAGCTCAGATTTTCTAGGTATTCGTAAATAAACTTCAATACACTTCTTGATCAGTGCCACTGTCTTAGTAGTCCATTATTAACAGTATCATTAAGGTACATGGTGGATTTTTTAAGAAGCTAGGGGTACTCTGCAGATATAAAATAGGACATTAAGTTGGTTTTAGTGATTGTATGATTCCCCTGTAGTCCTTCAAACACACGGCCCTCTAGTTTCTAACACAGCGGCTGCACACCTGAGCAATCACATTGTTGGAACTCAGGCTGCCTTCCAACATGGAAGCTGTATTTAATGGCAGCTCTGTAGTACAAAGTTTCCAGAAGGACTCCCAATAACGCTAACAAGAACTCATGCATTTAAAATCCCACCCAAGAGATTCACAGACAATGTTGTCTGAAGACAACTGGAGCACCTTCACGCTTCAGGCAATGCAGAGCATAAGCCGTGTCACAGCCAAGACTGCCTGCCAGATCTAGGAAGGCTGTTGAGAAAGTAAGGTGCTCTGCCACAAATACTCCACACCACCATCACCTACTGCACATGGCAATGATACCTTGGTCAAAATCTGGTCAAGATTTTCAAGATTCATCTCCTGTTAACACAAAAAAAATCCATTGTATTCATGTCGCTGCAATGATCCACTTGCCGCACAAATGCAAGAGCACGAGGAGCCATCACTGCTGAGTAGGACGAACTTCAGATTTAGATGCTTTGTTAACCCAACATTTGCACCGTTCACTCCAAGACTGTGGGGCACAAGGCACAGTAAGGAGGACTTACCCGTTTTGTGTAGTCCATTGCCTTCAGGATGGAGAGGTTCAGTGTCTCCAGTGAGGCCAAGACATCTTCATAGTCTCCCATATGGTCAGCAAAATAGTCTGGGAAAACCAAGAGGGACATGATGGGAAATGTTGATGTAACTTAACACTTCAAGGCTAAGTGCCACAGCAAGGTCTATTTATTGGTGGAAAGAAAAACCTGAGAGGGTGGTTTCAGGTATATTTTTGTATTCTATGTCCTGAGCCAAAGTCACAACTTGTCCTGCAGTGATGGGAAGCAGTGCAATTCCCATGAAGTTTGGGACCACTGTAAAAAAGAGATGTAAGGCACAGTAGCTCCCATTGAAAATAACTTAGAAGGTGCTTCATTTCCATGCCCACTTCTGCATTTGACCGTATCTTGTCTCTCTCCCTCCTATTGCCAACATGGAGGAAGAAGTCTCAAAAGAAATCTCCTTTCCATTCCCTTGACAGCCTTTACCACTCAAAGCATCCAAGTATCTGCCAGGTTCATCTCAATTTATACAAGCTGAGACTGGCCTTACATCTTCCTCTACATTCCCATTGTATTTGCACCTCAGCCCACTATCATAGGTTACAGAGACTTCTGAGAGTGAAATATGCCTCAAAAGGAAAAGAATGAAGCTGCAAGCTTGACCCAAAAGCATGTATTCTCCACGGAGTCCACACTTTCTCCACGCCGTCCTCATCCCTCCTGTGGGAGGGTGATCTGTGTCAGGCTGCACCACAGCTCTGGAAGTGTCCAGATGCAATCCTAGCTGCTCTTCACTGATGCAAAATACAGCCAAAATTGGAGCGTTCCCACATGGCCAATGGCTCCATGACACATATGAGCCCCGGTGCAGTTTCATGCATGAGCTACGGAGTCCTGAAATTCACTGTTCACAATGGAAACAGTGAGAAGTCCAGCGATTGAGACGTGCAGTGAGTCTGCAGCATAGACGTGAAGTTACCCTGGTTTTGGGTGATTGACACAGACTACAGCTAAAAGCTGTTCCTTAAAAGCCACTAGCACTAAGACACAAAGCTTCACACCAAGGTGACATCTCCGCAGAATGCAACAAGACATAAACTTCAGGAAACAATCCCACTAATTAGGTTTTCTTGGCTTAATTAGAAGTGCCTATAGCTATTTACAGCCGGAGAACATATCCAAGGGGAAGAAGATTTTGGCAGAAACCAGAATGTCGCAGTATGATTGACAGCAGCTGTTTGTGGTTCCATGATAAGCCAAACAGCTTATTCTCACTCCAGTGAGTTTATCTGTGTTATTCTTATTACTTTACTTGGGAAAGAAAAGCCGAGCAGATTTTAATCATAAAGACTTCTTGTAAGTCCTGAAATAAAAAGCTGGACCCATACATTTCAGGAGAAATGAGCTGCTGGGGGCAGAGCACAGCCCTCGAGACCAAGCAAGGAGGACCTGGGAGGAGAACAGTATTGACTTAACTGAAGTATTCAGTCCTACAGTTTTAGCCTTGTTTATTCACATGAACATCTGTGATCAGGTCTTCCTATCCTGCATAGTTCTTGCTCATAGCTCCTACATGTCTATGGAGAGCAATGGGATCAATGCTCAGTAGATGAGCACCACAGAAACCCAGGGCTGGTGTGGGAAGAGGTGAGTGTCCCCCACTTGCCTCTCCCCAGCAAAGCCATCGCCCACTATCCTGGTTGCAGTGGGTTGATGTGCATCTCCCATTTGTAGATTACACCTCATTTCACTGGACAGCTTGTACTGTTGCACACAATGTCAGTGTGTTTCATTTAAACTGAAGGGTGGTGGGTACAATTCGGTAGCTGTATGTGTATTTTCTGGGCATATTAAGAGCTGCAAGCTGTCCTATGACTGGGAGCTCCTCTGGGGATGAGGAACTACACAACCATGTTTAAGTCAGTCTATATGCTGGTGACTGTTGCATTAGTTGGCAGGAAAAAAAAAAAAACAGAATTTTTTAGGATGCTATCTGATATGGATTAAGCCATATCAAATTAGTCATACAAGTTGCAGGGCTCAATAAATCCCTTTTAAGATGCTTTCAATGACTTACAACACGCAACCCATTTCAAGAGAGAGATTACAGCTTCCATTTAGCCAAAAAAGAGGTTTTATGTTTAAATTAATACTTAGAAGAGTAGCAAGCAAATAAGAAATTGCAGGCAAGGGCAGGTATTCAGCAGAAAATGGATCTAGGCAGGATCTCACGTTGATCGATCCTTCCTCCGGCTTCCTGCAGGAGGTGGTGGGTTTATCTCCCTCCTCTCCTGGCAGCTTCACCACTCAGAAAGGCAGCGAGGTGAGGTGGGATCATGCTGGGTGACAGCTATGTGATTTTCTGATTTTATCAGACTGGTGGAGAAAGCAGGGTGGGGTCAAGCAACGTTACTAACCCTGTATTTCCTGGCAAAGTCGATGGTACAAGCTGTGGTGTTTTGATTTCTTGGGTCAGCTGACAAAAGAATCTAACGCAACGAGAAAGGAGTGATGGGAACCAGTCCATTGTATTGTCAGCAAAACAAAAGGGTTTTATGGAAGCCTTAGTTTCTTGTGTACCAAGACAACACGAAGCAGGGATAACCAGCTGAAAGTTTGCTGCAGGCTTGAATGCTCAAAATCCTGCAGAGTGCTGCAGTGAGAAAGGCAGGATGTGGGCAGCGACAAAGTACACCAGGAGGAGAGAAACCTTAGCCGGTGTTCTGGTGCAGACAGACCCACAGGCTGTGATGGACAGAGAGGTCTTTAAAGTATCGGGTATAATGAGTAACCGCCTGGTGCTGGCACTGGCGCCCCGGCAAGCACCTTTCTGGCTGGGCAATCCACTCTCAGCCAGATCTCTGCAGGCTGTAATTAGTGGCAAAGAGATGAAGGTAAAAATGGTGAAGACCTGCTGAGGTGGCTTTATATGTTTTTCTGCATCCTGGCACAGGAGAAGAGACGGATGAGCCCTCTTCAAGGCCACACACTTCCATCTCCCCATTTCCTCCCAAAAAGTTGGGGCACAGGATAGATTTCCCAGTACCAAGTGTCCATGGAAAAACATACCCAAGTGAGCAGCAGGAGCCCCGCACATGCGTCACCTCCCATGGAGACAAAGCCCTTGAGAAATCCTGGTAGGAAAAATTCCCTTTCTGGTTAAGATGTGGGACAAAACATTATCAGAGACTTTCTTTTCAGCCTTTAATTTCTGCAAGCCGTGGGAGGTGCAGCAGAGGTGCTGTACTCCTTAGGCAGCCTGCTGGGAAACATGAAGGTTTGCCTAAGGAGAAACACGTTATGGGTATTGCAGAGGGATAGTGGATTACTGAACTTCAGAGTGGAGCTGGAAGCCATGACATTGCCAGAAATTAAACTCCAGCTTGTTATTGAACAGGAGCCAGGTGCTCCACTCAGCTCTGACCCCGTTTGTGTGGCAAGAAAATGAAGAAAAGTTTTGCCAGTTTTCCTGTGGAATAAGGGGCAAAGCAGCAGAAGTGCCGAGACCCCCCAGCTCTGCAGCCACCATGGCATCACCAGCTTTGTAGTGGGTTTCATGCATCTTTCAAAAGCACACATACACATAACGGTTGCTTTTGCCCTGAGGGAGGGACTGCACTCACCGCACAGCTCCTTGGTATCCACGTTGCTGGAAGAGGGGGAGGACAAGGCAGGGGAGGAAGCAGGAAAAAAAAGAGAGAGAAAGTCAATTTTAATGTAAGGGACACATGAAGGCTACAGTTAGGATTTCTGCAGGCTTAACCCCAGATAACCACCTGCAACATCATCCACCCCCTCAGCATCCCCCAGCCACCAGTAGGGACAGCCTAAGAAGAAGACAATGGTTGGTGCCACTCAGGGTATCCACACACCTCTGCATGTTCAGCATCCATGCAGCTGGGATGGGTCCACACGTTATTTTGGATATTCTATTACCTGACGGGGGAAATGAGGACTTGTGCACCCCCCCGCCAGAGGGCAGACCTGTGCCTATGGGGGACCTGGCCCACGCAGCACAGCAACACCTCTGCCTTCCTGCCAAATATCTACCCTGGCAACGTCCCGGTGAGGCACCCGATGCAGTACATGAATGTGTTCGTCTCCATTTGCTCAGAATAAACATTTGCAAAATTTACTTTTCTCATGATTCTGCCCCTGTGAAGCATCCGCAGGGCTGTGCACAGTTCCTGCCCAGAACTCCCTTCAGACAAAATTGCACAATTACTTCTTAATACACGAACATTTCATTTATGTAATGACATCTCAAGAGACAACCTGCTTGGGAAATAAAGATTGCTGCTGATCTTTTTGTGCCTCAGATTCCCACACAATTATTAGTGCCGTTCAAGCATGGAATGATCTATTAATAGAACTGTATTTTATCAATCCATTTACTTCCTGGAAAGTTATTTCTTTAACTGAACTCATCCCTCCTCTGTCTAACCTGTCAACATAAGCAGATTAGGGAAAGCGATGCTTTCAATACCACTTTCACTAGCAGCATCCTCCCGCAGCCCTGCCCTGGATCCTGAAATCCTCCCGACCTCTTGCCTGATCAACAGGTCTGCTCCTAGCCCCCAGGGCCTGGGCTCTTCCCTGCCTCCATGATCTGAAGCTTTCACTTGCTGTTGGCCCTTTCTTGGGATGAGATATCCTTCTGAAGGGTTGATGCACAGTGGAAAAGCATTAATTTGGGATTGCTCTTCACTACCAAGGTCATATTTGAACCCTGTCATTGAGGATTCCTGACACGAAGTGTGGTGCCTTTGCAGCAAGCTGAAGTACCCAGGAAAAGCTCATCTCTGCTGACATCTGTTGCCATCTTCTGCAGCAGGCTCAGACCCCATGCGAGCAGAGCAGCCTTGCTAGGCTGTGCGTGGCAGCAGGACGGGGCCCAGGCTGGACTTCCCACTCAAATGGCATGAAGAGAGCTTCTGCTTTAGCAGAGACACTAATATAGGAGATTTTTTTCTTTGTATTTAGACTCTGCTTGAGAAGATGCAAGTTCCCGCAGCTCTGCTGGCCTCTCATTAGATGCATTTCATCCCCTAGGCACATTAGCCAGGTGCACGAGAGCTAAGCAGAAACACACGAGTGTGCTGGGGATACCTGGGGAGCAAATTCCCCAAATTCACAGTGCCACCCCTGCCCAGGTTCTCTCCAAAAGCAGACCCCCCAGGTGAAAGTAATGGGGACCCCTTCACTGCCACTTCTGAGCTATGGGACCTACCAGATGCTGGAGGGGAACGCGAACATCTCTATCCCATAAGATGCTGGCTGCCAGAAAGGTGCCATCTGACCTGTCTCACACTGTAAAATCATGTGTCACTGAATTACTCACTCTTTTGGGTAACTGATGTTTGTCAGAGTATAAGAAAGTAATCTCTTGTCTCAGACACATTTGCGGTGCAGGATATGTGGTTGTGGCAGCTGCTGGCAGCAGATGCACTGGCACAAGCTTCGACAGGAGGTACAGGCAGCCCATGCATCTCCCTGCAAAATGAGCTTTTACACTCCTTTATCTTAAGTCACTTGGAGATTTATTGTCTTTCTCAAACCCTGGAATTACTTCACTGAATCCTACAAAACTCCCTGGGAATGCTGCAAGCTTGATTTCCCTGACTTGACATTCTCATGACCAAGCCCGCTGAATATGCAGATCTGAAATGCTACCCAAAAGAGATGACTCCCGATCAAACAGTCCACAGTGCTTTGGCAGCATGTGATTGCTAACATGAAGCCTCAGCAATTCACAGGCAGAGAGAATTCAGGTGGTGGAAGAATTCCAGATAATGCATTTCCAACTCCAGCACAGCCCCATGCCTGCCTGAGGACCATGGCTGGTCTTCCGTCAAAGCTCTTGCCAGCACAGAGCCTGGGAAGTCAACTGATACCCTCAGGCTCATACATAGGAGTAGTTTTTACATCAGCATCACCCACAAAGCGCTTCAATAGCATTTTTCAGGAGCCAGTTAGTGTTTATAAACACCTACTGAAGTGGTTACAGGTTTGCAGCTAGGGCACATTACTGAGAAAAAAAATCTATTATTGTATTCCATGTAGTTTTGCATTGTAATAATTGATCTGCCACTGCCAAAAAAGTCCTCACGTCCTGCCATCATATTATTGAACTTAATTGTGCTTGAATGTTAACTTGGCTGAGAAGCTGCTTTTAATTTTAAGCCATCTTGCATTAAGAATAAGCCCAATTAAAGAAATTACTGAAGTCATAAGCTGACTTAATAAAAAATATGATAAAGTTCAGATGAAAATTTCTAAGGAGAAATCAATGGGTACTTGAGCACGATCCACAGCATTTCCTGGCATGCCTCCATCCCACAGGAGCGTGTCCATTGGGAACATCACTGACACACAGCCACGTCCTCATCGGTGTTACGGGAGTTTTATTGCCCAATGTAGGCACTGCACAGATGAACAAGCAATGCAAGGGATGAGCAATACCCAGATTCAAAACAATTTACAAGCTGCTCTGGCGTTTTAATCACTAACCACCCCATTTGTTATGCCAGTAGGATTTTTTATGATGCAAATATTCAGGATTTGGGTTTCAAGCCTCATGAAACAGGAGGTGGTGGCTCCCCACGAATACCCTCACCATCCCTAACCCTTCATCCCAGCACTGCCCTTCAGTGGAGGTTTTTGGAGTGGTCACATACCATGAAGCCTTGTGTCATGAAAATATTTAGGTGAGCATTAGTTAATCTTTTTTTCAGCTGCCAAATATTCAATATTCCCATAAGCCACAATAAACTAAAAAGAAAAACTGCAACAACTTGTTCTCATTTTTTCAGGAAAGAAAAGAAATCTTTCAGCTATGAGAACACTTGTCTGTGAATTAGTTTTTAATTTTAAGCATTCTTACATTAATACTTCGACTAATTAAAGAACTTATCGAAGCCATAACCCAGGTAGCTAAGCAGAATATAATGTTCAAATGAAACTTCTGTGTTACATAGTTTTTTTCTGCATAGTAGATGCCACATCTGTCTGATCTCTTTCCAAAATAAAAGTCTTTCTTTCAAAGTAGAAAAAACCAAGAAAATCCAAATCTTTTTACTTTCGGGCCTTTTTCCTCTGTTTTCCAACCAATAAAGCTGTAAAATGGAGCAGCACAACCTTGCATCCTCAACCTTGCTGGGCATGTGCACCCTTTGAGGTTACTTTCCAAGGCAAAAATATACTTTTGAGATCCTCCATTTGCCACTTGGGACCTAATTTCTATGACAGAAATACAAGCCAAGAACAAGAGCTCAGCTTTCAACATACATCACCTTCTGAAAAATCAGAGTCCAAGCCAATTTGTCCACAAAAAGGACTGTTTATTGCTCACCACCCACCACCATTTAAATACACTGGAATAATTTGACCAGATAAACATATTAGCAATAGGGAAATCATTTTCTCTGCTGGTTCACATCCAACTATCTCAAAGAAAAACAAAAGTCCTTGAAGCACGATACTCCTCCCTTGTACATGGGAGTTTAAATAGCAACAACCACGCTGTGAGAGCATCTCCTTCGTGGGTTTAATTAAGTGAACTTGCCCAGAGTAATTACTACTGCACAACCAGCAAGAGGAGGGGGTTGCCCAGAGTAATCGCTGTGCCTCCTGTGTATCCAGAGAGAAATACACTTCTCCCTCAAAAACCCCACCCAATGTTGAAGTGTGGTTCGATGAGCACCTGAGCTAATGAAGATCCCTGGGAAGTCACATCTTTGCCTCACAGCATCCCTGATTGCAGATTATCCAGCAGATAGGCTTTTATCTGAGTTATCCCTGTGCTGACTTTCTGTTGCTTTTCCATTGATTTAAAGCACTTAAAAGCCTTTTTTACTTCTCTGCCTGCCTTTCTTGAAACATGTTGCCATCTTTGAGATCCAGGGAAGGGTGGGATGGCAACACCAGACAGGGCACATGTTGCAGCAGGGTGTCCAACAGCCCAGGGATTATGAGCTCAAGTTGAGCATTCCAGCAGCCAGATCTTTGGGTGAGTGCTGGTCCCCCACGTAACCTCCAGGTCTCAGGTCAGAAGCTCCATCTACGTTGACCAGTTCAGCCCAACACTTTGTTTAAGCAAATCAGCATTTTCCAGCAGGAAAAAAAGGTATTTCTGGAAATTTCCCACCATGACTATTTGCTTTAGCTCTTAATAACAAGCCCAGTGCAGCGCAGCACTGGAAGGGGTTATCCAGAGAGCATCCCATGAGGTCTTCAGGACTCAGCATGGCAAAGCCAGGGCTGACCTGATCCAGTGCTGGTGGTGATCCCACTACTAGGGACTAGAGCCCTGCAGAGATCCCTTCCAACCAAAACAGCCATGAGTCTACCATCCAGCATCTCTCCCTCTCTTTCCCCGGCATATCTCTGTCTCCCTAAGGCAAGGCTGATGGCCTCTGACTTGCTGTCGTTAACGCATTTCTCCAGGCTTCTCTTAGATTATAGAGAGGAGCAGAAAAGTTATCTCAGAATGGAAAAGATAACGTGGAGGAGCAGAGCGTGAAATTCTCTTCTTGGGTCCCAGCTCAGCAAAGGGAAAGTCGTCCCAGGCTCTCCCAACAGGCGGCACAATCAAAAACATAATGGGAATTCAGAAGTTGCGAATACATCAAAGTCTCATCTTCATAGCGT